ATATATACATATATATATACACACACACACATATATATATATATATATGTGTGTGTGTGTGTGAGTGAGTGTGTGTGTGTCAAAATATAATTCACTGACCTCGCCATTTTGATTGGTGATAACTCCCTTTCCACTGAAATACGGAGTGTCGGGGGCTGGTCCAAACCCTGATTTTTTCTTACTCCTGGACACAAATTGGGGGGAACCTGGTTTCTTCTTCCCACCTGTGCAAATTCAGGCAAAAATAAATCAGTTTTGGATATAGTAGAAGGAACACTTTACTGGAATGTGAGGAGCAAACAAAGAAAACATATACACGGAGTCGGGATTGTGCCAAGGTGTCAAATATACCACTGAGAGTTGTGAATGAAAACTAGAGGAAAATTCAACGGTAACGAATATGGGATAGGCACATATACAAAGGTTCTACGCCAGAGAATACTGCAAGTAAGTATAAACGTACAAAACATTCATATACAACAAGCACTGCACCATTAAAGTTGAACAACCCGAAATCTCGCAAACCTGTGAAGTACACCAATATACTACAACCAGCCAACCATACCGTTAAGGTTTCTAAGGCGATCCTGTGGTTGTGACCCGCTCCCAAGGTTGGGGAAGCGCTCGAGATCGGCGCACATAGACCCCATACGCGTCAGTGTGAAACCAGGCACACACTCGCAGGTGTACACTCCAGCCCACTGCATGGCACAATAGCCGTTGTCCATGCACTTGAACAGGCTGCGATGGCTGCAGAAGTCCACACCGACTAAGGCGGGAGAGGACGGGGGAATGGAGCGCTTTGATTGGTCAATCGTGAGTGCTATAGATAGGTTGGCGTGCTACAGTGGGTGCGTGTGTGCACTTGTACAGGCGGGGATACCTACAGAAGTACAACTAAACTAAGACTACGAAAGGCGGAAGTGTGAGGCGAGTTTATTGGTAGTGCGGGAGTGCTATATAAAGGGTATTCAGAAAAAGAAGGCATTGTCGATGCACTTGGACAAGTTGCGATGGCTACAGAAATTTAAAATAATGTAGAAAAGACCGGGACCATGGACTGATTTGATTGTTTGACCAAAATATATGGTCAAACACGGACCCTACTGTGTAGAGCTACTGCCGCGATACTCAACCCATCATAGATAGATGAACAGGTAGTATACCATCAACAAGGGAAATTGTATCTCACTAAGCGGCTGATGAAAAGAACAACGTAACATTTGCACACACACACACATACATATATATATATATATATATATATATGTATATTTATAATACGTACCTACATACATACATATATATATGTGTATATATATATATATT